TGCAGAATTGAGATTGAAACCTTCCCTATTAGATCAAATCAAAGATCTCTAAAGCAAAGATAAAAAGTTTCTAGAAAGACTCGAGTAAGTGAAGAAAAATGAAATGAAATATTTTGAAATCAAGGCTGATGGATGTTTATATTATCGAGGTTGAGTTTGTATACGTGATGATGAAGAATTAAATAATGATATTCTTTATGAGGCTCATTATAGTCCTTTTACTATGCACCCCAAGAGGAAATAAGATGTATAAATATCTGAAGAGTCGATATTGTTGGGCGGGTATGAAAAGAGTTATAACTGAGTTTGTTTTCAAATGTTTGACATGTCAGCAGGTTAAAGCAGAGCATCAAGTGTCATATGGGTTGTTGTAACCTATTTCCATTCCTCAGTGGAAGTGGGAAAAATTTACCATGGATTTCGTGACAGGTTTACCTTTGACACCCAGTAAGAAAGACTCGATCTGGGTGATTGTGGATAAATTGACTAAGACAACAAACTTTATTCCATTTCTAGAGAATTACTTGATGGATAAGTATGTTGAATTATATATCAAAAAATAGTTCTAATTCATGGAGTACTTGTCTCGATAGTTTCTGAAAAATACTTGAGGTTTAGGTTGTGGAAGTCTATGCATGAAGCATTGGGAACTCGACTGAACTTCATCACAGCTTATCATCCTCAGACAAATGGTCAATCTGAGCGAACCATTCAAATACTTGAAGACATGCTAAGAGCGTGTGTCATTGATTTTAAATGATCATGGAAAAAGTATTTACCTTTAGCAGAGTTCGTATTTACCTTTAGCAGAGTTCGTTTTAACAATAGTTATCAGTCGAGTATCAAGATGTCTACTTTCGAAGCATTATATGGAAGAAAATGTCGGACACCATTAAATTGGTTTGAGCTAAAAGATCAAGATATAATTGGCACAGATTTGATCAAATAAGTGGAAGACAAAGTAAGAATAGTTCAAGATAATCTGAAAATAGTTGCTGATAGACATAAATCATATATTGATTTGAAGAGGAAGGATATCGAATTTCAAAAGGGTGATAAAGTATTTCTTAAAGTATCGCCGTGGAAAAAAGTTCTGAGATTCAGGCGTAAAGGAAAGTTGAGTCTGAGTTTCATTGACATGTACGAGATTATCAAGAGATTTGGTCCGGTAGCTTATCAATTAGCATTACCTTTAGAGATGGATAAGATTCATAATGTATTTCATGTATCGATGTTTCAAAAGTATCGATCGGATCCTTCGCATGTTATTACACCGTAGGAAATCAAGATTCAGCTGGATATATCGTACGAGGAGGAAACATTAAAGATCTTATCATATGGAATCAAAGAAATGAGGAACAAAATGATTCTACTAGTAAAAGTCCTTTGGCGGAATCATAAAGTTGAGGAAGAAACGTGGGAACGGGAAGAAGATATGAAAAGGAAATTTCCTTATATTTTTACTTCAGGTATGTAGATACGTAGGGAAAATTCAAGGATGAATTTTAAGAAAATGTGATTGACATGTCTGGAATAAACGAAAAGTGAACTTGAAATAAATCAAACATTTTTTGAATATTTTTTTATATAAAATAAAAGGATTTTATCTGCATTGTTGGCATGTCTCATTTTTATTATTATTTGATTTTTTATCGCATTTATATTTGATTTGTGTGAATTTAATGATTTTAAATAAAGAAGTGATATTCTTTCATAGAAAAGAAATACATAGGATAGACTTCATATTGGTGGATGTGCAAATCCCTCTCAAAATGGGAAATGTCCCTTTAACATCAAATTCGAAATAAATTGTTCAATGTTCGATAAAAAGATCGCATTTTAAATTTCAACTCGAATTTACAAGTTCTACTACTATGACAACGTATAAGCCACTAGGTACCAATTTTGGACATCGTGTAACACGCTAATCCAATCTGACCCGAAGATCGATGGACTAAGACATCACACGGGACTACCGAAGTGACTAACCCAAAATGTTTCCTTTAAAATGCATTTAATCAAAACATACTACATGGTATCAAATAGACCAACACGAAAGTTATAAATATAAAACACTTTTATAAATCGGAGGTCCATGACACAATTCAAATCAAATAATACAAATCGAGATTGACAATCCAAAAACATAAGTAAGGTCCTATGAAAAAACATGTCCACTAAAGCTATAGTACAATATTCTAGAAGAGATATTGAAAATCCTGTTGCGACGGTGCTTCTCGAAAGGCTCAATTGCTAGCCTGGGAACAGAAACATCCAAACGCTGAGCTTGGAAAGCCCAATAGTATAATCGCTAATCTAGAGTAAAATATGAATCTCATAAACATAAGCTTGCTAGAAGATAGGATAATACGTAGTAGGTACATGCATGATCACAATCAAGTGCTACCTACTTAAGGTTCAACAATTTTATCCCTATAGTTCGAGCCTTAGGCTTCCCTTAGTCTTCTACTAAAGGGCCTCGACATGAGAATACATATATCGAGTCTTTAATCACAATATCATATGATAACAAAAATGAATCAAGCCTACGATTACAACAAATACATCATAGTGTAGTTTGGGGTACAAAATATTGCGACAATGCCAACTAGTCTCCTTGAAGTCCGGGTGGTTTAACCAAAAAACTTCAAATCGAAAAGATCTTCTTTCTTTATCAACCACAAAAATAGGGTCTGTGCCCATCAAAATGGGATGATGATCAGAATAATGTCTTTGGAGAACATAGATCTGGAAATTTGGCCAAATCTCATTCATCTCAGTGTTGTGCAGCATTCTATCTAAACGTGCTTGAAGAACCACCCTACCGTAACAGGCTCTAACCCAAGTAAACTTATTTTCCCTCCATCCTGCATCTAAAAGATTATAGCTATCCCAGCGCTCTCTAAATTTAATCTGTGTATAGATTGATCTGTGTTATAGATGATCCTGACATTTATCTCACTCGAATTCCATAAGAGTAAGATGCCTCCCAGTCTTCCCTGAGTCAGAACTTCGAAATGATTTTCATAACGTAACTTTTTTCTAATAATCTCACCAGATCCTGAAGACATTTTTGTTTCCAAAAGCTTATAATAGCAGGCTTTTCTTCTCTGATGATTTCCTTGCAATTTCTAATAAAACTGTTATTCTCCACTCCCTTACAATTCCATGAAACCACCTCATATTAACAGATTTTTCTTGGTGGTTCACCTATTCACCAGGGGCGGATGTACATGGCTCCCTAGGGGAACCATTGCAAACCCATTATTTTAAGAAAAGTGTTAAATTTATTTTAATTTGTTAACGGGAATAGAAAAAATAAGAAAATTTACATACCTAAATTTTTTTAGAACAAGGTATTAAAATTTTGGATCCCGTTTTTTAATTTCTAGATCCGCCACCGCTATACACACAAGTTCTTCACACTTCTAGTCCTTTTGACTTGAATTTTAAATGAAGATAGTATCAGACATATAATCCTTAGAGCAGCCAACCTCAGTTGTGGTTTCCTGTAAACCAGTGTCATTGTTTTCTGTTTCCATATTAATAAATCTTGTCGGAACTCTTTTCTTTACATCATTTGAATTTTCTCTCCTTGAAGGATTTTGCTTTGCTAAATTCTGAGACATTTTGAGATTTGAAAACATCTATTCCCCCGAATTACTTTGTCTGTCATAATTGAGAGTAGATATCATTTTCTTGTTTCTCAGGGCCCTCTTCCCTGTGTTGCTAGTATTTTGATTTCCTTGATTGTGGTCTTTTTCCATAGTATCTTTGTTTTGAACTTTTTCCTCCTCGCTCATCTGTTGTCTCCTCCAATTAGCCTCATTGCTTTTATCCTCATTTATCGTTTCCTCCCTCAATGCTTCTAACCGATTTCCTCTTTGGTTATCATTTAAAAGGTTTCTCTGTATTTTGTTGATATTTATTGTCCCTTTCATTTTACGTTGAACCAGCGTCCAAGGTCTGAACTGTCCCGTTTTATTTGGTGGGTCGGTAACATTATCCTTCTGGTTTCCCTGATCTTGGACTTCCTCACCCTCAGCAACAGTTTGTATTTCTTGAGTCCCCTCTTGTTGCATATTTTCAGAGTGTCGAGTCGAACATTGATCCTCTTTGTGGCCCACCATACCACATTTAAAGCAAATCATATGTAACCCTTCGTACTCAGTGTTAAAAGTATACTTTCCTATCCTGACTTTTGATAACAGAGGTTTATTCAACTCAATCTCCACGCAGATTCTAGCAAATCTCCCTCTCGTCGCCCAGACCGTACGATAATCAACTTTCAAAGGAGTCCCTACCAGTTTTCCAATATTTACCAGGATCCCTTCATCAAAATACTCAATGGGTAGACCCAGGATGTTTATCCAGACTGCTGTTGAAGAGACACAGACTCCTTCCGCAAAGAAATTCGGTTTCCATTTCTAAACAGTTAGGTAATGATCCATGGTTTTCCAAGGATCTCCTATTAAAACTTTGGTTCTATCGTTGATACCAAGATTCCACATCGCTGTTATCCTACTAATTAAGGTTTTGTAGGCAATGGATTTTCCTGGAAGCTTGATTATTAACGCTTTCTTCCACGGTTTCCCGATTTTTTTTCTTTGCTACCTTTGGAAACCTTTACTAAAGGAATATCATCACTTTCTGTGTCATCTTCTTCCCCTGATTCATATTCTTCCTCTTCTAGTCTCGCTGAGCTTTGGAAAATCCAGTAAAGATAGGCGAATATGTAACTCACTCCAAGTTCTAAGCCATGCCCTCTCTTCGGTTACTGCTTCTCCTCCAGAAGGACGGAATCTTTTGTAACCCTTTCCTAACTGATCATTTGTTTCTCCCGCCTGATTCATCTCCGTGCCCGGTGGGTTGTCTTCATCCGTGAGAAATCAGAACACAGCTCGATGGTTGACGAATCTTGCTTGCAGGTTTAAAGAAAAGTCGACTTGAATTCTTGATCTATCGTAATTTTCTATTGTCTTTGATAGATTACTTATAAACTATGTTGCACGGGGACGGCAGAGGAATAGCGTTTTAAGTACCTGAAACGTCCCTGGCACGAGGACGGTACGGGGACGGCCGGAGTACGTACCGGGGACGTGCCACGGTGGCAGGGTACGGCCGAAAGATACGGGAGACGTTTCGGTGCTAGCTGGGGACGTTTCGGTCCTCTGGAAATAGCTATTGACGGCGTAGTTGCAGTGATCTTTCACCGTGTCGGGGTTAAAGCAACCACCTTTCTGGAGAATCGCAGAACAATCAGCTCCAACTCCACAAGCGTAATCCAGTGTCTTCTGAAGCATTTGATCACCAACTTCATCTTTACATAAGCAATAAGTAGCACTTAAACAAAAACCCCAAGCAAAAAATCGATTATTAAGATGCCATCTGTGAGTTTTCCCAGAAATCTTTAACAGGAAAATCCAAAGAACTTACTTGAATGGCCAGTCATGGCCAAGAACAACAGCAGACTAATTAAAAGGGCCATGACTTGTGCAAGATTCTGAGGAAATTAAAGAGAAACCAAAGAAAGCTTGTAGAAAGAAGAAAGAGAGCAAATGGAGACTTGTAGACAAATACTAAGGGAGGAAGACGGTGGGTATATAAGCAATAATGTTGTCCCTGATACTAGTCTCGAGTGTTATGGAAATAAATTTGGTAACTGTATTTTAATCTCTCTAATATTTCACTCGCTGGACTTTAAGTTTTTTTAGTTTTCTCACTTAACGTATTATATTGAGTGGTTTTTGTCATTCGATCATTAAATAGTTAACGGCGTTTAATATTTTTTATATTTAATATTATGGTTTCAGTCTTAAGATTTGACATTTTAATGTTATGGTTTGATTATGGATTTTATTATTTTAGAGTTAATATTGTGGTTTAAATCTTGAGATTTGACATTTTAATATTGTAATTTGTTTATGGATTTTATTGTTCAAACTTAATATTATGGTTTGAGTCTTGATATTTGACTTTATTTATAATTTTTTACATCCATTTATAATTTAAAAATTATTTTATATGACGTACCCTTGCCGTTCCCGTACCCTGTAATTTTAGAAATTGTCGTTTTCTGTCCCTGTCTCTGTATCCGTATCAGTGCAACATAACTTATAAATAAAAAGTATTTAACAAAGGATGATATTAGTTAGGGATGCAATCGATAGGTCGAATTAAAAAAAATCGAATTTGAGTCGAGTCAAGTATCTTATGCAAAATTTTTGGATTTGAGTCGAAGTTGCGTCAAAAACTTTTGATCCAGCCCGAAGATTTTAATTATAATATATAATTCTACTTATTTACAAAAATGTCATCTTATATATATAAATTTTAGGGTTACTTTTTTTTTCATTTTCTCTCCTCCTGCTTCTGCCATTTCTTTCCCTCTCCTTGACTCCTTTCCACTCAAATGTTTCAATATCAATTAATTTGATTCTTAGTTTTTCTTTTATATGTGCATCTTCTAAATTTCCACGATGATCTCGTTTTGAAGATTTTTTTATTATTATTTTGAAGATTTTAGATCTAATATTTTTTTAATATACATGTGTTTGTTTATAAAAATATAATTTTGAATGTTTGTTTACCAGTTTATTTAGCTTGATTTTTTATTTTCAATTAACTTTTTATTTATTAATTTTTTTAAAAAAAATTGTTCTAAAAATCTGATTCTTTTCTTGGTATTTCACAATGGTGGATACTGTTTTTTTGTGATTTTTTTCAATTTTTTTCAATAATGTATTTTAGGTTGTCGGGTTGAAGTTGGATTTCAATTTTAATTTCGGATTCGGACTTGGGTTGGATTTGATGATATTAAAATCGGATTTGAATTATAGTCTTATTGTGTCAGGTCGGAGTCGAAGCAGGCAAACATCCGACCCGACCCGTTACAATCTCTAATATTAATTTTTTTATGAGACTCGAGTTCTAATATAATTATATATATAAGATGTATATTATTAAAAGAAAAAAATAAAAAAGAGTAAAGAAAACTAACTCGTTGCTTCATCTTCAACAACTTAAAACGATAAACACCTATTTTATGATCTACGACATATCACGTTTATAGAATTTTAAAAAAAATTAAAATAAAAAAATTAAATTTAAAAACCAAAAATACTAAAAAAAATTAATTCTAAAATCCAAACACCAATCGTCGTTATAACTATCGTCTTGATCGCTACCAATTGTCGAAGAACAATCATTTCAGTCATCGTTGGTCATCCAATGACCGACCGTCGTTCCATTTCCTTAAATTCGTAAATTTAAATTCTTTGATCCGTAAGATCCTTAAAAAAAAATTAAATCTCTATAGCCGACCGTGACAATCGAGGCTTTGGCCAGCCATTTGACCACGTATATTAACCTTCAACTGTTCGGTGATTTGAGAAAAGGGCAGAGGTCAGGGCCGGTCCAATGAGTTTTAATGCTTTGTGCGAGATAATAAATTTATGCCCCTATAATTGTACCGTATAATAGACAAAACATAAATAATTTTTTTAAAACAAAAATGTAATTAAAATTATGTTCTAGAATTTTTATTCAATTCAATGTTTGGCGTCTGCACTTCCAAGGGAGAATTAATATTTTTGGATTTTCGTCGCCTACCCTAAGTCTTCCATCGACCGATCAAGTGTTTTGGGCTAATTGTTTTGGGCCAAATATATATATACACACTATAATCATTCGAAAACTGATGCTCCTCAAACATGCTAAATTTTGTAACAAGTTATATGTTACATATAATTGTTGTAGTTGGCAATGATATTTTTCAGTTTCATCCTAAATATGATCAAGTAGCTAAATTTTGCATGGAGGATGCAGCTGATACAATCAATGTTCTCTAACATCCAAAAGTTTTGGCATTGGCAGCTTGTTCCGCCACTGTCTGTAATGCCTAACCAACTCATTCTTTCCAGTAATATTTTGAACGATATCTTCAGAAACGACATCTTCATGTACAAATGAGCATATCATTTTAACTATTTGACATCCTTATGTACAACGGTGCAAATCATATTTAGAATCTAACATCATTGGGTATGAAGGATCATATTATTTTCATCATCTCTAGAGTATGAGTGTGTTATCTTTAGAAAATCCTACTTCCTGGGATAAGAATGAGTGGAATATCATCTTTTTCAAGTCTCGTCTTATTGGGTACGAATGAGCAAACCACCATTTATAAACGCATGCTTCCTCAAGTGCAAAGGAGTAGAATATCATTTTCAAGTCTTATCAAGTATGAATGAGCTGACCATTATCTTCATAATTTTATCCCATCGGGTATAAATGAGTAGGTCATTGTCATTTCAACATAATGCACCTTCAAGTGTAAAGGAGTGGATCATCTCTACAAGATTAAACTTAAAACCAGACAAAGTTCATCGCTCGGTTTCTTTTCCGTATTCTTATTTCTCAACAATTGGCAAAGAGCGATAATTGTGAGTACTCATTTTCGTTCGGGTTGACTTTAGGCCAAATCTTGACCTGAAGCCCAAACTAACTCACCTAAGCCCAAACTCATGATTCCAAAACCCCCAAAAAGAGAATTGCCCCAGCTCGTTCAACCTCTTCGAAACCAAGTCCCAAACCAACTCACATAAGTCAAGACTTTAAAATTGATGTCCCCTCTAACATTTTGCCCTGGGCTAAGGCTTATCTGGCACATATATTGGGCCGGTCATGGACACAAGTTGGGGGTTTCAAGGAAAGACGCGCAGGAGATTATTTTTTTTGTCTTTTTAAATATATTTTTAAAAACAATATTTTTATTTAGTAACGGTTTAATAAGTATCCAAACTATACCGCTTTTAATAAATAGGTACCTAAACTTTTTTTAAATGCTCCAATGTTTAACGTTACAAACGTTATCGCTTTAGGTCCTCGAACCGTAACTGCCATTATTTTTCTCTGTTAAGTGACACACGTCAAGTTTTGATAATTTTAATTTTTTAAAAAAATAATATTATTATATTTATAAAAAAACTCTATTTTTTCTTAAATTAAAAAAACTCAAATCCCTAAAAATCCTAAATTCCTAACCCTAATCCATCGTCGTCACCCTTGTCGGTCATAACCATTGTTTCCGACGTAGTCCCTACCACCTTCCTAGTCATTCATTATCGTAATTGTCACTGATTGGTCATCGAGATCACTTGGGATCACGATTTTCATCCTAGGGTTCGCGGGGTACAAAACATTTATTGATCGTTGATTAACCATCGTTTGGACTCGATTTCATAAGGTTATTGATCGTGAGGTGGAGCTTCGTCGATGGCAAAGGGTGGAGGTCAACATGAGTTTAGGAGTTAAAATAAGGGTTTTTAAAGTTTTGGGGTTATTTTGAAATTTTTATTTTTTTTAAAATACATATATTTTTATTTTTTAATTTTAAATTAATTTTTTAAAATTAACATAATGCGACACGTGTCACTTAAAGAACAAAGAAAATTAATGGCGTTTATTGGCCAACCAGCTAAAGTAGTAATGTTTGTAACGTTAGACACCTGAATCATTAAAAAAAAGTTTAAGCACTTATTCGTGAAAATCGTTATAGTTTGGGCACTTATTTTATAATTAAGCCTTTTTATAAAATTAATTTTTTTAAAATTATATAAGTTACTTAACAAAATTTTTGAACGGTTGTTACAATTGAAGCACTTAAAATAGTAACATTTGTATCGTTAAACATCTGGATTTATCAAAAAATAATTTATGGAACTAAATAAAAAAATGTATAATTTAAATATTTATTTTTATATTAAACCTTATAATAATAATAACTTGTCAAGCAACACTACCCACCTGACCAATAGTCCATCACACGACAATCATAATCAGAATTGCAAATGAGATAAGATAGATCAAAAGTCACTCGAGTATTATTCGATCAAAGTTTAGTAAATATTCTATTTGATTGGACTCAACTCGATTTCTTAACGAGTTGGAGCAAGCTATTTAATACTCAACTCAAAAAATTCATGAGCAACTAATTATAAATATATATTAACTTTTAAATTTTTTAAATTAAATTATTAATAATATTAACATTTATGTGTTTTTTTCTTAAAAAATGCAGTACAAAACTTTCATATACTTAAAGTATAGGTTCGAGCTTGAACCAAACTTGAGTTCGAACTTCAATCGAGCTAAATTTAAGAATACTTTGAATTCAAGTTTTTTGGAGCTCGAGTCAAGCTTCAATTTTTGTTTCCGAGAGTTAAACTTAACAATTTTAAATTCAATAACTCTTAAATTAAATTGAACTCAAGTTTAAACTTTTCAAATTAAATTAAGTTCACCATACTCAATTTGACTTGACTTGTTTACCGCCTTAAATTCATAACTATACCCAAAACATTAAACCAGATTGAGAGATGTTCTAGCTAAAACCGAGAGGTGAAACTGAAAAAAGCTCTTAAAACTGCAAATTACATAGGCCATGGCAAAGGATAATTCTTTTTTGAAGTGTCGGCAAAACTTAGGATCCAGAGATTTTTTTT